TGCCGCAATATACCTACATATCTCCAGCTGCAGTCGTGCGCCCTGGTGACGCTGATAATATCATCGGCATCTTGGACATTGCTCAGCAATACAGAGTCCCTGTTGTGGTTAGAAGTTACGCTGGTCATTCTTACGCCGGCCAGAGTACTGTTCAAGATGGTATCGTTATTCTCATGGATAGGTTTTCGACAGTCGAGGTCCTTCCTGAGGGTTTTCTAGCGTCCACTTTCACTGCTGTGATTGGTGCTGGTACCAGGCTCTTGGATATCTACACTGCTCTTATGCAGCATTCGCCGCCTTTGGGTGTCAGTGGTGGTAACTGTCCATCTGTGTCTATCTCGGGTGTCACCATGGGTGGTGCTCATGGCTATTATGGGACGAAGTACGGGACTCTTGCTGATGCTGTGATTGCTGCTGATGTGATCGTTAAAGACGGTGATTCGTTCAAGCTGGTCAAAGCAACTCGAGACGGTGATCACGAGGATTTACTGAAGGCTCTACGTGGTGGCATGGGTGGTAACTATGGTGTTGTAGTGAACTGGTATATAGAAACCTTCCGCGCGAGTGATTCGGTGCATATCTTCCGTCACAAGGTTGATCGTGGTGACAAGGGTAAAGATGAGGTTATTGCTAAGACTCGCGCATTCGAGGCGGCTACGGTCAATCAACCCGGTGATGGTTTATGGAGTAAGTTTAAAGTCAAGGGGGGATTCGACATGAACTTTGAAGGGATGTGCATGTGTGAGCCCAGTTCTAACGACTGCTCCCTCTGTGATGCCACAATAGCCAGCATTGATGCTGCTTTGGACAAGGACAACTGGGTAACCAAACCTTCGGAGCTCACTACTGATCATGGCTATGCAACGTGGTCTTGGGCCGGTTGCACTACATGGGCTGATCCTGGCACTCCTCCCAACGCTGACTACCCCGGTCCAAATGGTGACTTTGGATCAGCTAAACAAGGCTGTTATGACTATGATTGGTCCTTGAGTGTTGACTCCCCCTGGAAAAGCATATCTGTCTACATCAAGCACAGTGATGCTACAGATGCCTTTTGGGACACCGTATGGGATATCGTCCACGAGCCCGAGTGCGAGAATCGCAATGTCTGTATTTTAACCTTTGAATACTACGGTGGAAAAATGCTCGAGGAGCCGCAAGATTGTTCTGGCGGAGTCCATGCACTTCTTTTATTCATCGTCATAATGGTTGGAACATCCAGATCTCGTCACTATATTCCAAGG